AATAAAACAAACAAAACCTCTGAGAACTATGGGACTATGTAAAGAGACTGAACCTATGACTGATTAGAGTACCTGAAAGAAATGGGGAGGATGGAACCAAGTTGGAAAACACACTTCAGGACACCATCCAGGAGAACTTCCCCAATCTAGTAAGACAGGCCAATTTTCAAATTCAGGAAATCCAGAGAACCCCAGTAAGATATTTCATGAAAAGATTTACCCCCAAGACACATAATCATCAGATTGTCCAAGGTAAAAATGAAGGAAAAATTGTTAAGGGCAGCCAGAGAGAAAGGTAAGGTCATCCACAAAGGGCAGCCCATCAGACTAACTGCGTACCTCTCAGTGGAAACCCTAAAAGCCAGAAGAGATTGGGGGCCAACATTCAACATTCTTAAAGAAAAGAAACTCCAACTCAGAATTTCATATTAGGCCAAACTAAGCTTCGTAAGTGAAGGAGAAATAAAATCTTTTGTTAGACAAGCAACTGCTGAGGAATTTTGTGAACACCAGGTCTGCCTTGCAAGAGCTCCTGAAGGAAGCACTATTACTATCCACTACAAAAACACACTGAAGTACACAGAACGACAACTCTATGAAGCAACTATATTAACAAGTTTGCAAAATTAACCAGCCAGCATCATGATGACGGATTAAATTCACACCTAACACTATTAACCTTAAATGTAAATGGGCTAAATATCCCAATTAAGAAACACAGAATGGCAAGCTGGATACAAAGACAGGACCCATCAGTGTGCTGTATTCAAAGAACACATCTCACATGCAAAGATGCACATAGACTCAAAATAAAGGGACGGAGGAAAATTTACCAAACAAATTGAAAGCAGAAAAATGCAGAGGTTGCAATCACACCAACAAAGGTCAAAACAGATAAAGAAGGGCACTACATAATGTTAAAGGGTTCAATTCAACGAGAAGAGCTAACTATCTTAAATATATATGTACCCAATACAGGAGCCCTGAAATCCATAAAACAAGTTCTTAGAGACCTACAAAGAGACTTAGACCCCCACACAATAATAGAGGGAGACTTTAATAACCCACTGTCAGTATTAGACAGATCATTGAGAGAGAAAATTAACAAAGGTCCAGGACTTGAACTCAGCTCTTGACCAAGTGGACCTGATAGATATCTACAGAACTTGCCACCCAAAAAACAGGAGAACATAAATTTTTCTCAGTGCACTTACTCTAAAATTGATCACATAATTGGAAATAAAACACTCCTCAGCAAATGCAAAATAACTGAAATCATAACAAACACTCTCTCAGACCACAGTGCAATCAAATGAGAAGTGAAGATTAAAAAGCCCACTCAAAATCACACAACTACATGGAAATTGAACAACCTGCTCTTGAATGACTCCTGGTAAATAATGAAATTAAGACAGATATCAAGAAGTTCTATGAAACAAATGAGAACAAAGCAACAATGTATCAGAATCTCTGTGATACACCTAAAGCAGTGCTAAGTGGGAAATTTATAGCACTAAATGCCCACATCAAAAAGCTAGAAAGATCTCAAATCAACACCCTAACATCACAACTAGATGAACTAGAGAACAAAGAGCAAACAAACTCCAGAGCTAGCAGAAGACTAGAAATCACCAAGCTCAGAGCAGAACTGAAAGAGATAAACACAAAAAATCACTTCCGAAAAATCAGTAAATCCAGGAGCTGTTGTTTTTTTTAAAAAAAGAATAAATAAAATAGACTGCTAGTGAGTCTGATTTAAAAAAAAGAGAGAGAAGATCCAAATAAACACAATCAGAAATGATAAGGGGGATACCACCACTGACCCCACAGAAATACAAACAACCATCAGAGAATACTATAAACACCTCTATGCAAATAAACTGGAAAATCTACAAGAAATGGATAAATTCCTGGACACATACACCACCCCAAGACTGAACCAGGAAGAATTTGAATCCCTAAATAGACCAATAACAAGTTCTGAAATTGAGGCAGTAATAAATAGCCTACCAACTAAAAAAAGGCCTAGATCCAGATGGATTTATAGCTGAATTCTACCAGAGGTACAAAGAGGAGCTGGTACCATACCTTCTGAACTATTCCAAACAATTGAAAAGGAGGGATTCCTCCCTAACTCATTTTATGAGGCCAGTATCATCCTGACACCAGAGATACAACAGAGATACAACAACAACAACAAAAACTTCAGGTCAATAGCCCTGATGAACATCTATGCAGAAATCTCAGTAAAATACTGGCGAACCAAATTCAGATTCAGCAGCACATCAAAAAGCTTATCCAGCATGATCAAGTAGGTTTCATCCCCAGGATGCAAGGCTGGTTCAACATATGTAAATCAATAAACGTAATTCATCATATAAACAGAACTAAAGACAAAAACCACATGATTATCTCAATAGACGCAGAAAAGGCCTTTGATAAAATTCAACATCCCTTCATGTAAATAACTCAATAAATGAGATATTGAAGGAATATACCTCAAAATAATATGAGCTATTTATCACAAACTCACAGTCAATATACTAAACAGGCAAAAATGGGAAGCATTCCCCTTGAAAATGGGTACAAGACAAGGATGCCCTCATTCACCACTCTTATTCAACATAGTGTTGGAAGTTCTGGCCAGGGCAATCAGGCAAGGGAAAAAATAAAGGGTTTGTAAATAAGAAGAGAGGAATTCAAATTGTCTTTGAGGATGACATGATCTATATCTAGAAAACCCCATCAACTCAGCCCAAAAGCTTCCTAAGCTGATAAGTAACTTTAGCAAAGTCTCAGGATATAAAATCAATGTGCAGAAATCACAAGCATTCCTGTACACCAACAACAGACAAGCAGAGAGCCAAATCATGAATGAACTCTCATTCACAATTGCCACAAAGAGAATAAAATACCCAGGAAAACAAGGGAAATGAAGGACCTCTTCAAGGAGTACTACAAACCACTGCTCAAGGACATCAGAGAGGATACAAGCAGATGGAAAAGTGTATCACGCTTATGGATAGGAAGAATCAGCATCATGAAAATGACCATACTGCCCAAAGCAATTTATAGATTCAACACTATTTCCATTAAACTACCACTGACGTTCTTCAAAGAATTAGAAAAATACTATTTTAAAATTCACATGGAACCAAAAAAGACCTCACATAGCCAAGACAATCCTAAGCAAAAAATAAAACAAACCTGGAAGCATCATGCTGCCTGACTTCAAACTACACTATAAGGCTACAGTAATCAAAACAGCATGGTACTGGTACAAAAACAGGCACATAGACCAGCAGAACAGAATAGAGTACTCAGAAATAAAAACACACATCTACAACCATTTGATCTTTGACAAACGCGACAAAACAAGCAATGGGTAAATGATTACCTATTTAATAAATGGTGCTGGGAGAACTGGTTAGCCATATGCATAAAACTGAAACTGGATTCCCTCTTTACACCTTATACAAAAATCAACTCAAGATTAATTAAAGACTTAAATGTAAAACCCAAAACTATAAAAACCCTAAAGAAAATCTAGCCAATACCATTCAGGACATAGGCATGGGGAAAGACTTTATGATGAAATTGCCAAAAGCAATTGAAACAAAAGTCAAAATTGACAAATGGGATCTAATTAAACTACAGAGCTTCTGCACAGCAAAAGAAAGTATCATTAGAGCAAACAGGCAACCTACAGAATGGGAGAACATTTTTGCAATCTATCCATCTGACAAAAGTCTAATATCCAAAATCCACAAGGAACTTAAGCAAATTTACAAGAAAAAAACAACCCGTTAAAAAAATGGGCAAAGGATATGAACAGACACTTCTCAAAAAAAGGCATACACGTGGCCAACAAATATATTAAAAAAAGGTCAACATCGCTGATCATTAGAGAAATGCAAATCAAAACTACGAGATACCATCTCACGCCAGTCAGAATGGCAATTATTAAAAAGTCAAGAAACAACAGATGCTAGTGAGGTTGCAGAGAAATAATTATTTTACACTGTTGGTAGGAGCATAAATTAGTTCAATCACCATGGAAGACAGTAGCAATTCCTCAAAGATTTAGAACTAGAAATACCATTTGACCCAGCAATCCCATTACTGGGTATTCAACCTAAGGAGCATAAATCATTCTATTATAAACATACATGCATGAGTTATGTTCACTGCAGCACTATTCATAATAGCAAAGACATGGAATCAACCCAAATGCCCATCAATGATAGACTAGATAAAGAAAATGTGGTACATATACACCATGGAATATTATGCAGCCATAAAAAGGAATGATATCATGTCCTTTGCAGGGACATGGATGAAGCTGGAAGCTATTATCCTCAGCAAACTAACACAGGAACAGAAAACCAAACACTACATGTTCTCACTTATAAGTGGGAGCTGAACAATGAGAGCACATGGACACAGGGAGGGGAAGAACACTTACTGGGGCCTGCAGGGGGAGGTCGGGGTGGGGGAAAGCATTAGGGAAAAGAGCTAATGCATGTTGGGCTTAATACTTAGTGATGGATTGACCATGGCATGTGTTTACCTATGTAAAAAACCTGCACATCCTGCACATGTACCCTGGAAGTTAAAAAAATAAAATTATTATTTTAAAAAATGAAAAATACACCCCCAAAACATTTGCCTTCTTTTTATTCTAAGAAACATGTCCTCAATGAACTGTAAATGTTCTATCTAGAACAGGCCAGTCACAGCTTGGGTGATTAAGAATTTATTTTGAAATTCATACATTTCTGAAATTACATAACAATCATAAACCCAGATTTTATGTTAACAATATACTATTGATACAATACACTACATTATATCTTTACTATTATATATCTTTACTATGTTAACTATTAATGATATGCAGGATTTAGTTCAAAATAGAAATAGTATTGACATCATAAACTAATGAGGGAGTATAAATATAGCTTATATAGTTTACTATATGATTTACGTTCAGTCCTCACCTTCAGTATTTGTCATTTTACTTTCATGAAAACTTTCACTGTTCTCCTTAGAGGCTCCATATAGAACCAAACTCTGAGACGTGGCATTGTCTTTTAAAAAGAAAAAACACATATTTTAGTGAGTAGTTAATATTATAGAAAATTTTAAAATAAGCACCACCATGTAAAAACTACGTTAGGGAAGTGCTCTCCTTAAACGAAAAACAACTATGATACAAATATTAATCAAAACCCACAGTATAATATCTTCAGATATTTCCTCTCTGCTCTTCAATTGATTTGACTCTTTCATAAGAACGTATTCAAAATAGCATGAGACTGTTAAAAACAAACAGGTAAGTCATTATGTGTTGATATAGAATGTATCCAGGATACACTATGTGAAAATTAGCAAGGCAGAGATTTGTGTGTAAGCTTTGTCACCACTTTTTTAAAAATGAGATATGTGTGTGTGTGTATATACACACACACATATATGTCTTAACTATGTTAACTATTGATATGTAGGATTTATTTACAATTATATATCCTGTATAAGTTATGTAGGATTTATAATTATAAATACATAAGATATGTAGGATTTATAATTGCTAGATTAAGAGACTGTTGTTTTTAGAAAGAGGACATGTAGAGAGAGGGGAAATGTTTTATTTTGCAATCTCTGAGGAAGTGTTTCAAAATTCTAAAACATAAAAATATATTATCATTTATTTGACATTTTCTTATAAAGCTAAACATATCTACACTACAATGCAGCAACTCCAGTCCTAAGCTTTTAACAAACGGAAATGAAAGTATAGGTCCACAGAAATATTATCCCAGGCCACTTATATAGCTTTATTCATAACAGTGAACACTGGAAACAACCTAAATATCCATAGATTTAAGTAAATACTCTGTAGTTATGCAATAATATAATGTGGACCAGTGAAAAAGAATGAGCTGCAAATACATGGAGTAACATTGGTGAATCTCAAAAATATATTGATATATTTAATTTCATTATTATGAGGTCCTAGAAAAGACAAAACTAAGCTATGGTGAGAAAAATCAAAATAACAGTTGCCTATAGTAGGCGAGAAACTTTCAGGGGTGATGGAAATTTTTTCTAGCTTTAATGGCATGGTAGTTACATTTATGTACACACTTATCAAAATGCATTAAATTATAAATTTAAGATGGCATTTTCTTGTATGTATGCTATAAAATAAAAAATAGTGTTTTACTCTAAAACCATTAAAATATTTTTATATATTATAAATACATACATATATAAACATAGGTTTAAATGCTTGTAGAATAACATGTTAATATATACTAACAGTTACAGATAAAATATTTATGTTAAAGCTCACTAAAGCATTAAAGAAAGCATAAAAGAAGGCAAAAGTAGGCCGGGCGCGGTGGCTCAAGCCTGTAATCCCAGCACTTTGGGAGGCCGAGACGGGCGGATCACGAGGTCAGGAGATCGAGACCATCCTGGCTAACACAGTGAAACTCCGTCTCTACTAAAAAAAATACAAAAAATAGCTGGGCGAAGTGGCGGGCGCCTGTAGTCCCTGCGACTCGGGAGGCTGAGCCAGGAGAATGGCGTAAACCCGGGAGGTGGAGATAGCAGTGAACTGAGATCCGGCCACTGCACTCCACTCCAGCCTGGGCGACAGCGCGAGACTCTGTCTCAAAAAAAAAAAAAAAAAGGCAAAAGTAAGTTTATAGCAAAAATATTCAATAATAGGAAATTGTTCAAAACATATCAAAATGATAAAAGATAGTGCTAATCAAATAACTATTATAATATATAAATGACTAAATTTACCCAAAAAGAACCAATTATAAAATAATATAGAAAAAAATTATAAATAAAATACATACAATTATTTTCTGAAAAAGAAAACTTGATGTAACTAAATATGAACAAATCTAGAACTTAAGCTCAACAACACCGAGAATTATTGCTTTACAATTGAAGTTATAGATAATAATAAGAAAATCTATATGTGTGTAATAAAACTGCACATTATATTAGAAAAAATCTTATTTTTTAACATAAAGAAAAATTTAGAGAAAAAATTATAGAGGAAAAATCTAAATCACTGCCATTTATCTGTGGCATATGAAGTTCGGAATAACAAAATGACATACAGGATGTGATGAATACAATAAGGTAATATTGATATACAGATTATGAATCGCAAAAAGATACAGATTATATCATTTTAAAGGTAGTAAAAGTAGGTATCTTAGACAACAATAATTCAAAAAAATTTAATAAGTAGAAACTAGCTGCACTATATAACTAACCTACTGTACAATTAGAAATTTGTCACATAAAGTTAATTCAAAGGTATTTGGAAATTTAATGTATATTTCCAAATAACAAATATGTCAAGAAAGAATTCCATGTCATACAAAATATGTATTAAAAAGGAAACACTTTGTAAAGAAATGTTAATGTATTTAAAACAGAAATACGTCCAGAACTTAAATGTTTAATTATAAATAAATAACATTTAAAATACTGGTAAAAGTGAAGTATATATGAGTACTAAGACATTAAAGGGAAACACAGGAAATAAATAAGTTTTTTTTTTCTGAAGTGGAGTCTTGCTCTGTTGCCAGGCTGGAGTGCAATGGCGTGATCTCGGCTCACTGCAACCTCCGACTCCTGGTTCAAGCGATTCTCCTGCCTCACCCTCCCAAGTAGCTGGGACTACAGGTGCGTGCCACCATGCCTGGATAATTTTTTGTATTTTTAATAGAGATGGGGTTTTGTCATGTTGGCAAGGCTGGTCTCGAACTCCTGACCTCAGGTGATTTGCTCACCTTGGCCTCCCAAAGTGCTGGCATTACAGGCGTGAGCCACCATGCCTGGCCAGAAATAAATAATTCTAAAACTGTAAAAAAGTCTCCTTTATGTATCAGCCACTCCAACCCACAGGGGCTTGTTTACTATAGAGCACTAGAAGCAAATGTCCTATTTTCCAAGCTGCTGAGCTTCTGGCATTGTAACCACAGCTTCAGTCCCCTTCTCTAATCACTTCCTTCAGACTCTGCGATGACAAGATGAGGTTTTCCCATAATTAAGACCTCAGTATTATCTTTGAACTTCAGTTTTACTCTAATCTTCAAACGGATGTTCCCACAACTTGCCTGAGTCTTGATGACTCCAACCCCTACATTCAGTACCCCAACCAGTGATTTGGGGAGTTTGCAATGTAGCAGTTTTGTGGTATGTTCAGAGTATTAAAAGAATAAAGTTTCCACAATCAAATTCTTGTGTAAGTCAGGGGCTGACATGAAAGAATCAGAATTGTATAAACCTAACACATGATTCTTTAAAAAAGAAGAATTAAAAATATAAAATTGGAAAGCTGGGCACGGTGGCATGCACCTGTAGTCCCAGTTACTCCAGAGGCTGAGGCAGAATGATCACTTGAGCCCAGGAGTTCAAAGCTGCAATGAACCATGACTGTGTCACTGCACCCCAACCTGAGCAACAAAGCAAGACCCTCTCTCTAAAAAATAAAATAAATAAAACTGGAAATATTAAGTGCAAATAAAACAAAAATCAACAAAATTTCATACACTATAAAACTGTGTTAAAATTAATTTGAAAGTTTAAAAGAAAATTAATGCATCAGTTACTTGAAAAGTCACCATGCCATTCTCGCTCCCATGGTAATCCAGTAGAAAGCATCATGGTCTTCCCATGAATAATTTCTCAAAATCAATAAGGAGTACGGAGTGAAAGTAATCAAACACAAAAGAAGAGTGAACACCACAACTCAAGATTGGCTGTCAGTAGGCAACTAACGTTACAATCTTGTGTGTACTTCCAGATACTTTATACTTATGAGAATATTTCATATGTATGCCTTATTTTATGCTTTAGTGAGCTTTAACATATATTCTATCTGTAACTGTTAGTATATGTTAACATAAGTCATTCTGCAAGCATTTAAACCTTATGTATGTATGGTGTATGTATTTATAATATATAAAAATGTTTTAATGGTTTTAGAGTAAAACACTATTTTTTATTTTATAGCATACATACAAGAAAATGCCATCTTAAATTTATAATTTAATGCAGTTTGATAAGTGTGTACATAAATGTAACTACCATGACATCCAAGCTAGAAAAAACTTCCATCACCCCTGAAAGTTTCTCGCCTACTATAGGCAACTGTTATTTTGATTTTTATCACTATAGTTTAGTTTTGTCTTTTTCTTGGACCTTGTAATAATGAAATTAAATGTGTCAAGTATGTTTTATCTGACTTTGTTCAATATACTTTTGAGATTCACCAATGTTACTCCATGTATTTGCAGCTCATTCTTTTTCACTGGTCCACATTATATTATTGCATAACTACAGAGTATTTATTTAAATTTATTTTTCTGCTGATGGACATTTAGGTTGTTTTCAGTTTTCACTGTTATGAATAAAGCCATATAAATGGTCTGGGATAATATTTTTGTGGACCTATGCTTTCATTTCTGTTTGTTAAATGAGTGTGTACATAAGTATATGCATATATATAAAATATATATAAAGAGACACATATACATACATTTCTTTCGTTCTCAGGACGGAGAGATTCCTTATCAATTTTAAACCATAGTGCAAATTCAACTTTATATTTCAAGTTGGTAGAAAATTTTTTTTTCACACACTAAGATCAGTCACATCAGGATACATCTTAAAATTCAAGGTTGGTATGTGTAATAGTTTAATTGGTAGTTTTTTACTTCTTAGAAGTTTATAACATAATGGCAAATTATACAACTAGAATTATATTACATTACATAAAACATCAGTTTCATGGTATCTTGTAGGATAAATTTACCATAATTTATTAAACCGATGAGGATGAAAAAATCTCAAATTAAAGTGAGAATGACTAATATTTATTGAATATATACATGACAGTTGACTTCAACATATTTATTATACTACGATACTTAATCTTTACAATAACACACATTAATTTTCATTTTACACATGAGTAAAATGTGGCCCAGAAAGGTAGTGAACCAAACCAGGTTGACAAAGTTAGTAAGTGATAGAACTAAAATTTAAACTTTGTTTCTAGCTCCAGTTTTTAAACTACACTAGCACTCTTTAAAACCTGTTTACAATATACAATTCCAAGAGATTCTTGTAAGTATGGAAAGATGCAGTTCTATACTCAAATAATATATTACTTAAGGTTTTTTCATTGCAAGACTTGTTAGAGTTTTCAAAGTGTTTTCATCAAAAAAACCTTCAAGAAAAATATAAATTATACAAAATTTCTCAGTTTTATTTTACCTCAGAATTATTTTTTCCCTAAGCATATCTTGGAATATATATTAAATAGCACACTCTTTGAATATGTTCTAAAGCACATTATCTCCCAAATTTGGGAAGATATAAATTTGGGAAGAAATAAAATTCAGAAGAGGATTAAACGTGTTAAATTATATAAACCAGAAAAATTCCTCTTATTATAAATGCATAATTCAATACACAATAATACTATATATAACACATATTTCTTGGAATGGCAGGCTAGGTTTATCAGATCTACTTTTCCACTGAAAATAGGATATATATATATACACACACACACACACATATATGAACGAGATAGTTACAAACTACTAGGACAAAAATCTAAAGAAGAGCAGAAACTATACTTTTAAGTGGAGCACAGGATGCAAAATGACATTTGACACAAAAGTCATTGACAATTCCTAGAAAGTTTGGGCTGGGTTTGATGACTTGTAGGTTTTACAAAATAAAAAGACAACCTAGTCTCAGGGTCCATAGTCAAAATATAAGTGATTTATGAAATTGGATGGGGAAAAAATTACTCGAGTTTTAAAATATTTCTGTACCTCTTATATTTAAAATATAATTTTAATGACAAATAATAAAAATAATAATCTTCATTCAGAGAGTATAAGCTTCAATAGGCTTCAAAAGGGTCTATAGCACAAAAAATTTAGAATGCCTTAATTCCCAACTAAATTGTAAAACTTATTTTAAGTTTGGATAGCAAATGGCTACAGCCTCAGAGTAAAGGTTAACCAGAAATAACGACCCCAATGGCCTCTACCAGAACTCAAGACATTGTAGAGATATTTTCTCTGAGTATACACTAAACATACAAAAATAAAAACAAAAGCAGAGAACCTCACCCCTGTGACATTAAAACTTTGGCTGTTCATCACTTAAATTTGCAGATTGAGTTTTCAACATTGGACACTCCACCGAAGCCTCTATGCTTGAATTTGTTTTAAGTTTGTGCCATATTGGTACAGCAGTATGTTCCTGACAGAAGCAAAAACAAGTATACTCTGGAAGAAGTCATCTGTATTTTAAGCATCATGGAATACCCATGAATAATTTTTCAAAAGCAATAAGGAGTACAGAGTCAAAGTAATCAAACACAAAAGAAAGGTAGAAACCATAACTTAAATAACATACAAAAATCAATTCCAAGTGGGTTGAAAAATCTAAGTGTAAAAGTCAAAACTCCAAAATGCTTAGAAGATGATTTGGACTAATATCTGCATGACCTTAGACTAGGATTTCCTTGAATAATACGTAAAAAGCTTTGACTTGAAAAAATAATAGGAACCCTTGTGCATCAAAAGGCAATATAAATAGATTAAAAATAAAAGGCATAAATGTAAAAAAAAATTAGTTAAATATATGACTGATTTAGAACTAGTATTCATACTATACAAGAAATTCCTAAAAATCAATGTGAAAAAAGACAAACGACTCATTAGAAAATCAGAACAAAGATACAGTCAATTTGCAAAAGTGGAACTCAAAATGCCAAAAAAGCACATGAAAAAATTTTCAACATCAGTAATAATCAGGGAAATTTAAATTAAAACCACAATAAGACATTGCTACATAGTATGGGGATTGTCAATACTTTAAAAGTCTAACAATGTCAAGTGGTAGGAAGAAAATGGAGCAACTTGAATATTCCTACACTGTTATGTCACTGTAAATTCATGTCATTACTTTGGAACATAATTTGGCATTATCAAATAATGTCAACGACAGATATACCATATACTTATCAGTTCTGCTGATAGCTATGCCTTAGAGAAACTCACACAGGACATATGTACAAGGATGTTTTTAGGAGCATTATTCAAAATAACAAAAAATGTAATGAATGGTATTGGACAATGGTACAGCAAAATGGATGAAAGCCACAAATTACACTGAGCAAAAACGGTAACGACAAGGATGAAGATAACAAGTAATGTTGAACAAAGGCAGCAACATACATATATTAACTCAGTTTAATTTCAATTAACAAGCATGAAAAATTAAATTATATCTTTAGGGATGCATACATATGGAACACTACAGTTAAAATTAAAAAGAAAAGGAAATTAGCACCACAAAGGCCCAGGTAGTGGAGGGCAAAAAGTATTATTCAGGAGAGCACAAGGAGACCATCTGAAACGCCGGGCATGTCTATGTGTGGAGTGAGTGAAGGTGACACAGATGTTTCCTCATGATCACTTATGAAAAAAACCCACATACTAAGTTTGTACACTCTTAAGTATGCATTATTCAAAATGAAAAAGGCAACACAGGAAATGGAGTAGACAACATACACTAGCAATAGATAAGTACTTTTCTAAAGAAGTGTTACAATTTTATTCATTGACAGAACATCAATTAGGAAGAACAGAAGAATGCCTGAAATTATTTTCATGCTTATAATTTTTTGAAAAAAATTAATACGTGACAGAAAAAAAGAGATAAAAATTATATATAGTAGCTTTTGGATACCTTCATTTGTCTTTGACCATGCCTTTTCTCTGAGAGCCTTTACTTCCTGACATGTTAAACCTATAAAAGGTAAAATAAAATAAAGTAAAATATTTGCTTCCTGAGTCAAATACTCTGCCCTATATTGCACTAGTAAGGGTACAGGAAGAAAATAAGCATCACAATAAAGACATATATGCTAAATTACATGAGAAAGGGCTGAGGGGGTAAGTAGAAGAGAAAGACAAAGTTTGATGGTGTTTCTCTGCAAAAGGGTGTTTGATAGAAAACACTGTGAAAGGAAGTGGGAGGTCATCTTGGGTAACATTCTGGGATGATAAATAGATTCACAATTTTAATAGAAGCTTTCTCTGTAATTTCTCGGTTTAGTGCTCAAGAGAACTTAAATGAAGGTTTAATCTAATTTCCAATGTTATATTATATATGGATTTAAAAAATCCAATAGTATGGTAAGATTGGCCTTGTGACATAGCCCAGTTTATTGAAAAAACACAATACATGAAGAAAGATAAATGCAATTATTTATGCATGTCATAACTGCATCTCTAGAAAATCCTCAGTACAAAATCAAACTGATTAAAGAGAATTTACATATATGTCACAAATAATATAGCATGATTCTTATAAAAGACAGCATTGCCAACACCAATGACATAAAAATAAACCCTAAAGACATATCACTATAGTTACAAAAGTATAACCTATGTAGGAACATATTTAATAATTATATCTAGGCTTTAAAAAATTGTGGTAGTATAAAATGTTACTAGAACATAAAAAAATGTTGAAACAAACAAGAATGTAAATTATGGCTCACATTAGGAATATAAACATTGTAAAAGTATCTCTTTTTTCCAGTTTAATAACCCATAAAAATATTAGGCCTATTTTATTTGTGACTCAATAATTATTTTTAAATTTTAAAAATGAGCAATAATATCAAAAAATCTAAAAATCATGGCAAATATGTGCACGTGTTTGTAATGGAGAGAGGGCCTTGTCCTTTAAATATCTGAATATGTCTAATATTCTAAGGATATATTTCAAAGACTGTTGCAAGAAATAAATGTGTAGATCAATGAAAAGAAACAGTTTCTTCTCTATACAAAAACAGACATATGAAAATAAATTATATTCTGTAAGATATGATACCCACAAAAATTAAAAATTTTAAAAAGCTATCAGATAACTTTACAAATATTTTAGGTATCTCAAAGAATTCTTTTAAAAAATTTAGATTCACTCTAGAAAATCTACAATTTACAATTATAAAATTGAGATTTGTGCTAATAGGAAATCATCATATGAAATGCAAAAACAGAATATCCCAAAGTTCAGCATTCATAATGATTTTCCTAAATTACCAAGATAAATTATGACTTCTCTCTCCTTCAACACACAAGTTTCATGAGGGCAGGGAGTATATCTACTTACAGCCACTGTATTTTTGGCAAGTAGCAAAGAACCCCAGACATAGTAAGTGTTAATACATATTTACTGAATGAAAGAAAAATACAGTAACAGGAGGAATGAGGGAACACATTAGAGTTAAATAATGACCACACCAAGAATACAAGCATACTTCCGAGATATTGTAAGTTCAGTTCTAGATAACTGCAGTAAAGTGAGTCATACAAAGTGTTTAGTCTACAAAAGCATAGAAAAGTTGTATTTATACTATACTGTAGTCTATTAAGTATGTGATATTATATCTAAAACAATAAAATATTTCTAAACATTGTCTAAATATTGTTTAGGTCTAAACCATAAAAAGATACTTTAATTAAAAATATTTCAGTTTTAAAAAGTTAATGATTGGACAAGGTGGGTGGATCACCTGAGGTCAGGAGTTTGAGACCAGCCTGACCAACAAGGTGAATCTCTGTCTTTACTAAAATGCAAAAATTATCTGGGCTAATTTAGCTGGTGGCAGGCACCTATAGTTCCAGCTACATGGGAGGCTGAGACAGGAGAATTGCTTGAACCCAGGAGGCAGAGGTTGCACTGAGCCTAGATCATGCCATTGCACTCCAGCCTGGGCAACGGAGCAAGACTGTCTTAAAAAAAAAAAAAAAGAAAAAGAAAAAAAAAAGTTAATGATCATATGAGCCTTCAGCAAGTCATAATCTTTTCACTGATGGAGGGTCTTGTCTCAATGTTGATGGCTGCTGACTGATCAAGGTGGTGGTTGCTGAAGGTTGGAGTGTCTGTGGCTATTTCTCAAAGTAGAACAATGAAGTTTTCCTCATGGATTAACTCTTCCTTTTACAAAAGATTTCTTTGTAGCATGTGATGCTGTTTGATAGCATATTATGCAGAGTAGAACTTCTTTCAAAATGGAAGCCAATTCTCTCAAACCGGAAGCCAATTCTCTCAAACCCTGTTGTTAATGTATCAATTATGTTTATGCAGTATTCTAAATTTTTTGTTGTCATTTCAACAATGTCTACAGTATCTTCAACAGGAATAGAGTTCATCTTAGGAAACCACTTTTTTTGCCCATTCCCAAGAAGCAACTTCTCATCCATGAAACTTTTATCATGAGATTGCAGCAATTCAGTCACATATTCAGGCTCCACTTCAAATTCCAGTTCTCTTGCTCTTTCCACTTCTTCAGTAACTTCCTCCACTGAAGCCTTGAATCCCTCAAAGTCATCCAGGAGAGTTGAAAGCAACTTCTTCCAAATTCCTGTTAATGGTATTTTGACCTTCTCTCATGAATCATGAATATTCTCAATGGTATACACTTTCCTCAAGGTTTTTTATTTATTTTACCCAGATCCATCACAGGAGTCACTATCTATGGTAGCTATAGCTTTATGAAATGCATTTCTTAACAAATAAAACTTGAAAGTTAAAATTACTCCTTGATCCACAGGCTGCAGAGTGGATATTGTGTTAGCAGGTATGAAAACAACATTAATCCCCTTGTACATCTCCATTTCAGCTCTTGGACGTATATGTTGTCAGAGGAAGTAATATTTTAAAGAAATCTTTTTTTTTTTTTTTTTTTTTTGAGCAGTAGGTCTCAACAGTGGGCTTAAAACATTCGGTAAACCAAGGTACAAACAGATGTACTGTCATTTAGGCTTTGTTGGTTCATTTATAGCACACAGGCAGAGGAGATTTAACATCATTCTTAAAGGCCCTAGGATTTTGGGGAAGGTAAATAAGCATTAACTTCAGTCACCAGTTGCATTAGTTTCTGACAAAAAGACTCAGCTTGTCCTTTCAAGCTTTGAAACCAGGCGTTTATTTCTCCTCCCTAGCAATAAAAGTTCTAGATGGCATCTTCTTCTGATAAAAGGCTGTTTTGCCTACATTGAAAATCTGTTGTTCAGCACGTCCACCTTCATCAATTAACTTAGCCAGATTTTCTAGATAACTTGCTGCTTCACTGTGTACTTTTATGCTATGGAGATTACTTTTTTCCTTAGACTTCATTAACCAATTCTGCAAGCTTCCAACTTTCCTTCTGCAGCCTCTTCACCTCTCTTAGCCTTTACAGAATTGAATAGAGTTAGGGCCTTGCTCTTGATTAAGCTTTTGTTTAAGGGACTGTTGTGTCTGGTTTGATATTCTATGCGGACCACTAAAACTTTCTTCATATCAGCAACAAGGGTATTTTGTTTTCTTATCATTCATATGTTCACTGGAGTAGCACTTTTAATTTCCTTCAAGAACTTTTCCTTTGCATTTACAACTTGGCTAACAGCTCGGCACAAGAGACTATGCCTTCAGTCTATCTCAGCTTTCAACATGCCTTTCTCACTAAGTTTAACTATTTCTAGCTTTTGATTTAAAGTGAGAGACACATAATTCTTCCTTCCCCTTGAACTCTTAGAGGGCATTGTAAGGTTACTAATGGCCTAAGTACGATATTGTTGTGTCTCAGGGAACAAAGAGGCTACAGGAGAGAGAAAGAGATGTGGCGCACAGACAGTGGAACAGTAAGAACACATGCAACATTTATTGATTAAGTTAGTGTCATATGTGTGTAGTTCATGTTACAACAAAACAATTACAATAGTAACAACAAACACCACTGATCACAGGTCACCATAACAGATAGAAAAATAATGAAAAAGTTTTTGAAATACTGCAGGAAATATTAAAATGTCACACACATACATGAAGTTTTTCTACATGTTGTTAGAAAAATGCTGCCAATAGACGTCCTGGAAGCAGGGTTGCCACAAACCTCAAATTAAAGCAAAACAAAACAAAACACAGGATCTGTAAAGTGCAATAAAGTGAAGTGCAATAAAAGGAGATGTGCCTATAGTCAGTTTCTACAAAGAGCTGCACAAGAAACAGACCCTGAAAAATATTGGTTCAAATAAATTCATGCTCTAATTCATGTTTCTGCCTTGGTGGATAACTGTATTGTTACCCAATATTCCAGGAACAAAATTCCAACAGCATGTGCTCATCAAAACCACTCTATCAGCAAACAAATTTTCTAATGTAAATTCCTGATGAACTCCAGAATTTAAAATTTTTCAAAAGATACTAAAATTATAAAAGTTAACATGATATATATAACATTTAGTGATGCATTTAGATTTAATAATTTAACAATATATGAAACATGGTAATTTTATCTTCTTTGACTCTAGAAATTCATAAGGTAGATGAGCAATTATTTTCACTAAATATGACACAAAAAGAAATAATATATAAAGGTTTCAGGTTTTATTTATATAAGTTGCAAATGTTAACTATGAATAATCCATCATCAGAAGGTCCACATGAGAGAAGATTAAATAATTAAATGAACACATGGAAATTATTTATATTCTTTGGTAATAAAAATGTAAAGTAGAGCAATTGTGGTCATTTTCTATTTAATAAACTAGCTATTTAATAATAATCAAATAAAATCTGGTATTAATATATTGTGGTAATAGTGATACACAGTTGAATGTGAGGTACATTTGTGGAAACAATATAAAATAAATATTGAAGGCCACACAAATGTTCACAGCCTGTGTCCCCCAAATTCCAATTCTGAATACTTAACTTGAAACAAAAAGCAATAAAAGACAAAAGTTAAAAAG